CGTCATATTTGAGGTTATGTAGTAATGCCATCTATTCTTTAAAAAAAAATACATATAATTTAAAAGTACAAGGCTCCCTCTTTCGAATGCCGTTGAGTTCGCTCAAATATCTTTTCTTCTTTTTTCGTTGAGATATCACATGTTGAAATTTCTAAGTTTATCAGTTTCTTAATATGCGAAAATCTACTAAGGATCCCTTAGACGTCAAACAGTTGATTGCAGTTCAGAAACTTCATACTCAGAAACCTTCAATACATACGAACTCAAACTCACAAACTCCAAATCCACAAACCCACAAACCCCAAGCCTACAATCCCTAAACCAATAAACCCCAATCCCACAAAACCCGGACCTACAAACTCCAAGTTTACAAACCCCAGGCCCACCAACTCCAAACCCACAAACCGTATGGGTATGAAGTTTCTGAATTGCAATCGACTGCTTGATTTCTAAGGGATTAAGAATATTAAGAAACTGAGAAACTTAAAAATTTCAAACTCAACGGCATTCGAAGGAAGAAGCCTTATACTTTTAGATTCAATGTATTAGTTTTTTGAAAAAGAATAGATGGCACTACTACATAACCTCAAATATGACGAAAAACAGTGTTTTTTGCACTTTTAGGTTAGGATACAACATGTAACATATCGACACCTTACTATTTTAGACATGTGTATAAATATTACATTTCTAGCAAATAAATCCTATGAACTTTTTTGAGAAAGGAGGAGTTTTAGAGTTATTTTACAATCTGTGAAGTATTTGGTAACAGTAAAAAAGTAATAAAACGGAAATGATCCTTACGATAAAGTGAAACATATATTTTTCTTAGAAATAAAAGCAGTAGTCGGTTTTCGGTCTTCCACCACTGGTATACATATTCAGTGTCTACTTACCTTTAGCTAGATAATCAGGCTCAAGTTAGATCATCATGGATAAAACGTATTCAGAGATATTTTAGAAGATGTTAAGGGTTTTCTAATTTCAACACAACATAATCTATTATCTGTTTATAATGCTTTTTGACATAAAATCACTGAAATCACTCAAAGAATGAGCACTTGAAAATTTGATGACGTAATCGCCTTTGCCTGAGTTTTATGGGGAGAGATCTAACATGATTGAACGTGCCCCTCTCTAGAAATATTTTAAGTGCTACTCAGTTAGGGTAAATCCGAGAGAGATGTCGCGTCAGGTGAAACATCCCAGTATCTATAACATTTCCCTTGGTCAACAGATGACGCTCTTAGTAGTATAAGAGGTAAATATTGGTGCCTATTTCACTAGTAAATTGTAATATCTGCATTTAGTGCCAACGTTAGTTAGTTTTTTGGACTTTTTTATCATTGATAGTACGTTTTAAACGGGAAATAAGTATTTTTATATGGTTTAATTTATAGGAAGTGGTAAGTAATGTGTCAGTTTTTCGCATGTCATTAAATTAGACAATTATTCTATCTTATCTTATCTTTTCTGCATTATGTTAAGTTAGATCTATGTGCCAAGTCTTACTGCAAAGGTACGCGGCCTCTGTCCCAACAAAAAGTAGAGTTGCCGCATTTTAAATCGGGACAGATGCCTCATCTATACATTGCTTATGTATTATAGCACAGAAATATCAAAGATCTGTAAATGCAACACCAAGACCGACTTGGACAGAAGCTATACAAAAAGTAGAAGCTGGTGAAATTAGTAAAAGAGAGGTTTACACGCGTTATAATGTACCACCTCGAACGTTGGAGTGAAGAATGAAACCTGGTAAAATAGAGAAAGGAAGTCTTGGACCTGAAGGTATTTTATTGCTGTTAATATTACTACTACAATGATATACTATATTTTTTATTATTTTTACAGGTGTACTAGTTAAAGCAAATGAGAAGAGATTAGTTGCACATATCCAACGTTTGTCGGCAGCAGGCTTCGCTCCAGATAGAAGTACTGTCAGAAAGCTCGCTTATAAATTTGCTGAAAAGCTGAAAATAAAGCACATTTTTTCTGGAGTGAACGACATAGCTGGCTTTGCATGGCTTCAATGTTTTTGGAGATCAATCCCGAAAGTTCCATTCAACAAAAGGAAGGTTTTTTGTTATCTAGAGCTCGTTCCATGAACAGATAAGATGTGGCCCAATTTTTTAACTTGCTGGATAAAATTATGACTGAACATGATTTATTAGAAAAACCTTATGAACAAAAAATCTTCATTTATCAACTCAGAACTATTTTTACAATGGTTGAAGGAACAGTTCATTCCACATAAACCAGTTGGAAAGTGTTTGCTGATACTGGATGGTCATACATCTCACAGATAGATATTGAAATGCTTCAGGTGGCTGATGATAACAATATTATTTTGTTGTGTTTGCACATTCATTGTACACAAGCACTTCAACCGGTGGACAAAAGTTTTTTTCAGCCGCTAAAAGTATATTTCAGTCAGGAAGCTCATTTGTGGATGAAACATCACACTAACCGAAATTTTACCAGATATCAAGCTGGCGAAATAATAGGTAAAGCTGGGATAAGAGTAGCTAGCATTGGAAATGGTTTTAAAGCAACGGGTATATTTCCTATACCCAAATACAATACCAGATCATTTCTATTCTATGAGTGAAGTCCGTCCAGATACGCCTCGACTTCCAGAGGTTCCAACAAATTCAGAACCGGGTCCTTCTTATTTCATTAATGAAACAGAAAAATCAAGTTTTTAATATGATGAAAACCAGACACCTAGTAACTTATTACATTAAGTTTCTCACATTCCTGTCATGCCAATTCCTTTCAATAAATGTGTTAAACAAGGTACGGTAATACTAAATTTTATAAAAAATATAGAAAAGAAACAGAATAAAGATGAAAAGAGTAAAGAAGAGACGCCGTTTTATACAGTTAAATAAAATTGATTGTTACTATTTTCTTATTTGAAAATGAATGTTTATTTTTATATATTTAATTTAAGAGTAATGTAACTGTTTATTACTGAAAAATGTTTAATAATTACGAAAAATATGATTTTTTTTCAAAATATGCGGCAACTCTCCCGTATTTACCATAGTATTTTTTATTGTCATAGTAGTATTTTTTATTACGCTACACATAATTTTTTATTGAAATGGTTAGTTTCAGTATTCAGATATGTATATAAATGCATACTAATACGGGTTAAATATTTTCCCACCACTATTGTCACTGACAACATTTTTAACAATGAAAAGTAATTTTAGACAAAAATAATAATTTCAATAGTGTCTGTGAACTTTGAATCACTCTGGATCTTTGTGTAAATCGTGTTTATATTTTTTAGACTCCTAAAACTTTCGCTGGTTTACCACCCGACCCAGAAGCACTTGCTAATGCCAACAAAGCTTTGGATTTCCTAGATGAATTTTTGGTGAAATCCGAATACGTCGCAGGCGACAGTCTTACGTTGGCTGACTTGTCGTTAGTTGTCCAAATTTCCAATTTAGAACTACTTGGACACGATATGTCACCCTATAAGTATATTAATAGATGGTACGCAAAAGTCAAAGCGATTGCTCCGGGTTACAAAGAAGCTAATGAAGACAATTTGGTATACGTTAAACAGTTAATGGGTCATTTTGCGCAGGCCGATGAGTAAACATGCAATAAATAATTTGTTTTATCTCTAATACAATAAAATAACAACAATTGTTAGCATTTGGTAAGGTACAGTTTTTGATTTTTTTTAATAAAATTGAATTATTGAGAAGCTTGGATTGTATAGAAAGCAACTTTCATTTAGAAATTTAGATCCTATAATTTTTTAACACAACCTAATCCATTACATACATATTTCTTCGTCCTCAGAATACCATTAAATTACAGAGAACATCGTATTTATCTCAATAATACAAAAATATGTACATATTCAAATTGAACATCATGTATGATGGTATTCTATTAATATCTCGTTGAATTTAAAGTCTAAGTCTCCTAGTATACTCACCCAAATATTCAATTTCCTCGGATGCTGCGTATAAATTTTATAAAAAATATAGAAAAGAAACAGAATAAAGATGAAAAGAGTAAAGAAGAGACGCCGTTTTATACAGTTAAATAAAATTGATTGTTA